TGAATATATTTAAAATAGCTGACTTTTAAATCTTTGTTAAATAAATCCAAGATCTGGGTTTCTTCAGGGATAGTTTCTGTTGATTTCCATATTTTCTTATTTCTTTGAATTTTTTGTAATTTTTGTTGACAACTGAGCATTTTAGATAATATGTGACAATTCTGGAAGTCAGATTCTCTCCATTCCATGTTTGTTGCTATGTGCTGTTTTTAGAACTTCTTAAAACCTCTGAAAAGCATCCATAGAAAAGGAACACTTTACCTTCAGGGATATAAATATAAGATTGATGAATGCCTTATAACAGAAAATTGAAGAGAGAAGACAAGGAAATGACATGTTACTTTATTATTTTTTAAAGATTTTACTTATTTATTTAATTATTCATGAGAGATAGAGAGACAGAGGCAGAGGGAGAAGCAGGCTCCCCACGGAGCCGGGAGCCCTATGTGGGACTCAGTCCCAGGACCCTGGGATCATGACCTGCACTGAAAGCAGATACATAACCAACTGAGCCACCCAGTGTCCCAGGAAATGACATTTTAAAGTGTGTGGAGGGGGAGTAGTATCATCATAGAGCTATATATCTAGGAAAAATATCTCTCAAAAACAAAAATATTTCTCAGAAACAAAATGGATACATATTTGCTTGCTTTGTCAGCTGAGGTGGCTGAGAAACAGTGAGACCCCAGTAACAATGAATATACTCAGCCCCTGGATCTTGGTTTTGAATAACATTCTCCATAAAAAGTAACTTGGGTTGAAGCAATGTCTGATTCTAGGATTGAAGTAGGTGATATACAGGATGAGCCTAGAACATCTTATAGTCCCAGATAGTGCTGAAGTCCTTAAAAAAGAATAAAACTCAATTAAGGGAGTATTTTCAGGAGCCAACTGAAAAAACTCCCAGTGGCCAGAGATAGAACAATTTGGACAATAAAGCTAATAAATTAGTATTAGGTTATAAGCCTATGTATAAGAGTCTATATTGAAATCCATGGGTCCATATTGAGATACATAAATTACTAAATAAATAGACGTGCAATAGACGAATCTTCCCTGCAGAAAACCTCCACATAACATATGGAGATATTCCACTGTCAAGGAGGAGGAGCCTAACTTCCCACTCCTTAAATGTGGGCTGTGCATAGTGACTTCCTCTGAGAGGACAGTATGGAAATGGTGAAACTTTACACTGCAAAAACTTGACAAGCACTACCTCACCTAAGTGACCAAGATTAACATAAATAGTGATAAGTTATCCTGATCATATGTACCTTTTATTTTTTTTAAGACTTTATTTATTTGAGAGTGGGAGAGAGAACATGAGCACAAACACAAGTCAGGGAAGGGGCAGAGGGGGAGGGAGAGGCAGACTCCCTGCTGAGCAGAGAGTCCAATGTGGGGCTTGATCCCAGGACCCCAGGATCATGACCTGAGCCTAAGGCAGATGTTTAACAGGACTGAGCCACCCAGGCACTCTGGTTCATTTATTTATTTAAGTAATCTCCATACCCAGGATGGGGCTAAAACTCACTACCCCAACATGCTCTACCAACTGAGCCAGCCAGGCACCCCTAAAAGAATAATTTTTAAAATGTATACTTAAAAGTGTAGAATTTCTAGACATTTTTAAAAAACTTTTATACATGTGTCTTTACACAGTGTTTTACATGCATTACAGTGTGATCAACACATTCTTTCACTAAGAACACCACCCTGATGCAACCAACTACTAGCATTCTTAGAAACACCTTTTATACACATGTCTTACATGTACAATAGTGTAGTGAATACTGATTTGTAGCATTGTCCTGATACACATGTGCAACTAGCACAAAGAGGGACATTCCTTAGTCATATGTTTTGGCAAAACAGAAAATATAGCAGTCTTACATTTGTTTGAGCCTAAAAACATGGCTTCAAAATATATAAATCAAATGTTGATCAAACTAAAAGAATAGACAAATCCACCGTGGGATTATACTAGAAATGAAAATGAATCAATAAGAAAAAGATAACTAGAAAATCCTCAGTAGTTTAGAAATTAAGCAACATACATCTGAATAACCCATAGGTTATTTAAAAAAATAACCCATAGGTCAAAGAATAAATAACAGTAGGACTTAGAACTAATATTTTGAACCAAATGATAAGGAAAATATGACATAAAAACTTGTGGAATATAGCTAGAAGTTGCTTAGAGAGAATATTATAGCTTTAAATACATAAAAAAGGACTTTTGAAAATCTGTAATCTAAACTTCCATCTCAAGAAGGTAGAAAATGAGCAATTTGAATGCAAAGAACACAGAAAAAGGAAATAGTAAATATAAAGCAGAAATCAGTGAAATAGAAGATGCATGTACAATAGTGAAAATAAAGAAGACCAAAAGGTTGTTTATTGAAAAGATAAATAAAATTGATAAATGCCTAGTCCGATTTTTAAAAAAGATTTAAAATATTAATATCAGCAGGGAATGGAGACATTATTACAGATCTAATGGACATTTTTTAAAAAGAAGATATGAATGGGATGCCTGGGTGGCTCAGTGGGTTAAAGCCTCTGCCTTCAGCTCAGGTCATGATCCCAGGGTCCTGGGATCGAGCCCCACATCGGGCTCTCTGCTCAGCAGGGAGCCTGCTTCCCTTCCTCTCTTTCTGCCTGCCTCTCTGCCTACTTGTGATCTCTGTCTTTCAAATAAATAAATAAAATCTTTTTTTTTTTTAAAGATATGAACAACTCTAGGACAATGAATTCAACAATTTAGATTAAATGGACTAATTTGTCTGGGGGCAGGGGGAGAAGTTTTCCAAATCTGCCACACTAAGAAAATCTGGAGTCCTATATGTAATACAACAGTTAAATCTTTAATTAAATATCTTCCTATAAACTGCAGGATGAGATGGCTTCAGTGGTAAATTCTTCCAAATATTTAAGGAAAAAATTAATAATATATTACACAGAGTTTTCCAGATATGAGAAAAGAGGGAGGCTACTGAATTAATTTTATGCATATCTCAAATACCAAAACTTGACATGGACATTACTAGAAAGAACATTACAGACCAATTTTATCTCTTAAAAAAGGATGCAGACCTCCTAAAGATAGTATCAACAAACAAAATCTGACGATTTATAGAAAGAATAATATGCCAAGTGGGGTATGTCTGAGGAATTCAAGGTTGGTTTAACATTTAAAAATTAATATAATTTACATAGAAGACAGGATAAAACAATATGGTTTTCTCAACAGATGGGAGGGAAATTTTGATTTAAAACAAAGACACATTCATGATTTAAAAAAAAAAAAAAAAAAACAAATCCTCTAAGAAAACTTGAAAGAGAAGGAACTTCCTTAATTTGAAAATGGCTTCAAAAACCCTTGGGCTAACATTTTAAATAATGGTGAAATATTAAAAATCTTCCCAGAATTCAGGAACAATACAAGGATGTCCACTATTATCACTTTTATTTAAGGTTACACTGAAGGTTCTCAACAGTGCCTTAAGGCAAGAAAAAGAAAAAAAAAAGATCTAGAGATTGAAAACTGTCATTCTTTGCCAATGGCATGATTGTGTGTGCAAAAATCCAAAACTGAACAACACACTAGAATTAATATAAGAATTTAGCATTTAAAAAATGTCCTAATCATTTGTTGCAACAAATGATTAGGACATTTTTAAAAAAATCATAGCATCAAAAAACTCATCTAGATACCTAGGAAAAAATCTAATAAAAGTTGTTGAAGACCTATATACTGAAAATACTAATTTTCCAATATATTTCCTAAATTTCTGAGAGAATTTCAAGTTTGAAGTAACTGGAAGTTTTTACGATGCTCATTCATTGGAAGATTTAATATTTTTTACAGCAAAGTGAAAGAAAGAATAACATACACCTATATACAACAACATGGATAGATCTCATAGATACAATGTTGGCCAAAAGAGGACAGACAAAAGTACCTATTGAATGATCTCATTTATATCAAGGTCAAGAACAATCGAAGCTAATTTGTGGTGACAGGTGAGAACAAACAGTTAACCTTTGGGAGGTATTGACAGGGAAAGGGGCGTAAGTGAGCCCTCTGGGGTATGGATAATGCTCTTCATCTTGACCTGGTGATAATTTTATGACTGTATACACATGTAAAAAAGTCACAGAGGCATGTATGTGTCTTGTATATTTTAGACTCTTATATCAAAACGCTTAAAGAAATTTAAAAAGAGTGTTTTTTAAAAAGTAATGGGAAACCACTGAAAGGGGTAAAGGAGGTAAGTGACATGATCCTATTTAAGTTTTAAAAATATGTTTCGGGTGACAACCTACTGGAAGACGGCGGGAGCGAAGTTGGAAAACTAGGTAAGAGGCTGCATTGCGTGGGTCTAGAAAGAAGTCATGGTTGCTTAGACTAGAACGGAGAGCACGCACTGGAGAGAGGTGTGGGAGCAGATCTGTAAGATAAAGAAGAGCAGAGGGAAGTGTCCCGAATATCTTTTTGGGTATCCACCCTAGGAAATGGAAGACGAACAGCAGAGGAATGCTGGGGGGGGGGGGGGGGGGGGGGGAGGGTGGAAAAAAAGGGGGGGGGGGGAGTAGAGTTCTCGAAAAAGATCAGTTGGGAGGGAGCTAAGGAATTCCTTAAGTGGGAGGCGAGGTCTGCTGGGAACAGTTGAGGCGGGGCTTGAGAAAGGGTCCTAGAGTTTGCACGTTCGGATAAGAAAAACTTTGGGGGATTAAGGCGAGCATGGAGAGGCGGGAACTGGGCCTTGTGAGGAGTGAGGCGATTGTAAGGACGGGATGGGGGAAGACTGCGAGGGCTAGGATGCCAGCTGTGCATCGCCCAGGAGGCTCGGAAATGCCTGACCTGGAGCGCGGGGATGGGAGGGTGTCCGCCCGGCCTCAGCCTCCAGGCGGAACCAATTGTGACGGCGACGAGGTTTCCCACCGGCGCTACAAAGGTGCCACACGGGAGGGGCGGCGTGCGCCGGCGTGACGCGGCCGCGCGGAATGGGCAGGGCCGAGGCCAAGGCGGCGACGGCGGCGGCCAGTGCTAGAGGCGGCGGCACAACGAGGGCCCTCAAGCCCGACCACCATGAGCACCAAGCAGGTCACTTGCAGGTCGGTGCGCGGCGCCGCGGCGACCGGGAGCGCAAGGCCACTTCACTTCCTTTCTCATCCCCCCAATCCCCCGCGCCGGGCCCCGAGCGGCGGGTGCGCCGCAGCCCCACCACCAGGGAAACTGAGGCAGGAGTGGATTCTTGAGAAGTTGCTCAGCTGTTCGCGGTCCGGCGGTCCGGCTTCTCTACGCGGAGCTCGCGCTGCGGCGGGAGACCGGCACCTGGCGTGGGTGGCGTGTGTTGGGGCGGAGACCCGGGGCGACGCCGGCGCGGGGGCCTTTGGGCTGGAAGAGCATGCTGGCCTGGGCGGTGCAGGGCGCTGGGGCCTGGCGGTGGGGGTGGGGTTCTTGGAACTTAGAGTTTAGCTGGAAAAGGAGATTCGGGTAAAGGGAAGCTAAGTGGTCGTTTACAGATGGGGATACCGCGCAGGAATAGGTTGTTGATCGATGATAAGGGCCTCGAAGAAGCTTCGGTCCCGAAAGCGGGCTTCGTTTCCTACGAGTTTTTAGAACTCGCATGCAATCTAAACTTGCAGAGAGTCGGCAAGTAAGAATTGTGCGGAAAATAATAATGGCGGGTAACGTTTACTGGAAGTTGGTGAAGTGCTTCGCATATTTCCAAGTGCTCTATATTCACGGTCATTACCCTTCACAGTAACACTACTAGGCAGATATGATGTCCATTTTACAGTGCAGGGCATTCGGACTGAAAGAGATTAAGTGAAACTCTTACTGAGACACCCATTTACGTGGAGAAATACAACAGTAATGGATGGTTGGTGTAGAAAATTCAAAACCGGATGCTGCACTGTGGCTGCTCCTGTGAAGCAGAAGGAGCTCGGTTGTATAACACCCTCGTTCCTTGGTGAACCTGTGGCTTACCCATACCGGGTTCCTAGTCTTACTGAACTGATGCTTGGAGAGTGCAGATTTTATTTTAATGATTGGTTTCAGTAAAACCTATGTGGGAAACATTGCCCCGCAAAATCAGTCGTATGGTTTGGTTATGTAATAAGCACTTAAAGTATCATCTGTGTTGTTACGGTTCTTCATTAGCATGAATAATTGAGAGGGGACTATGTAAAAAGTTTTCTGTTAGTAATAGTACATATTAACTGTTCAAGTAGTTGGCTCAAAGCCCAGGTGGCTTATATGAAGCAGTTGTCAGAAATTTGCACATAGTATCTATAGAAAATAATTTTGCTTGGTTATTTGTGCTAGAAGATCTTTTGTGAAGACCTGTGTGTGTTCATTTTTATTTGTATGAAGCAAGTATGCTGAGTAATTGTATAGCACATTCTGATTACTCCTCTTAAGATGTGTCCACAAAAGAGTACACATTTATATAATGCTTTATAATTGAATCTCAACTCTGTGTAGTATCTAGTTTTACAGACATCTTATGTTCAGAAGGACTTGAGATTTGCCCCTAACTTCACATCTAAATGCAGGAGCAAAATTTAAATCAGGATCATCTTGGCTTTTTCATTCTGTGCTGGGAGATGGCCTAACCTGAAAACTTTAATTCTCTGTTTCCCAAACAGAGGCATCCTGCAGGATAATATTGCATGTAAAGTCAAGAGTGGGTTGGAATGTTGGAGAGGGGTCACTTCCTAAGTACTAACTGGTGGGGGGGGGCGGTGGCTGTACTATGTGCTGGGTGCTCTTTGAGGTGCTCTACCAGCCATATCATGTGTAACCCAGTAACCCTCACTGTTTCATAGTTTGTGAAACGGAATCTCAGCACTGAAGTGATTGCCCTGGGTCATTCAGCTTCCAAGTGGCCAAGGTGTGGCATCAGAGTCTATACTTTAATTGACTGCATGGCTCCAAATAAATGTGGGAGATGCTAAAGTTTCTTCCCTGCAGGAAGTTTTAAAGCTTTTCATATGCACATTTGAAAGGAAAATGCATGCAGAAACATAGAAACTAAAAGGGTCTTGCAAAAGGGTCTGAAGGAGTTGGATCTCACAAGGATTGCCTTACCAAATAAAAAACAGAACACTTTCTTAAAGATTTATTTATTAGAGAACACAAACATGTGAGAGCAGGGACAGGGGCTGAGGGAGAGAGAGAGAATCTGAAGCAAACTCTCTGCAGAGCTCAGAGCCTGCCAAGGGGCTTGAACCCAGCACCCTAAGGTCATGACCAGAGCTGAAACCAAAACTCCCAAGAGGCAGACACTTAACTGACTCAGCCACCCGGGTGCCCCCAAAACAGAACACATTTAAATGAAAAAAACTGTAGTATTACCTAGAGTACGAAGTTTACTTTAATGTTTCATAATGGAAAAGCTTTTCTCACTTTCTTATTCACTAAAGTCTTAACCTCCAGACATTGGTGATTCACAGGAAATGTTCAAGATACGATTTATTTTGGGGACCAGACCTTAATAGGGTGATCAGCTGGTTTTGCTTTATCTGAGGGTGCAAATTGGTTTTTTGGTTTGTTTTCCTGGCTGTGGGATGTGATATACACGCTTATTCTGAATAGCAGCAACACACAGTGTTAGTTTTGCTTCAATTCTGATACACAGATGTTTCTCCAAGAGATGGGTATGAGATGCTAGGATTCCCAGTTTTAAGGACAAAGACATTCCATATGTTTATTGCTTGAAATGGCAAGAATGGCTGCTCACACAGTTGTGCTGTCAGTCAGCTCTCCTGATTTCTCAGCATGCCACTCTAATCAGAATCTCAAGTTGGGAGTTATTTTTTGCTGATTCTTCTTGCTAACCATTTCCCCGTGTCTTCCAACCTTTTTTCAAAGCACTGGTGCAGGCCTTTATGCCTGCTTTCTTTTCTACCGCCTCTTGTGATAGAGGTCCCTTTGTCTTATCATCACTAGGTGAAGGCCTGGAATTTGTTTCCTTAGAGCACCAAGCTTAGAACTTTTAATTCTTTGGAAGTCACAAAACATAAAAGACCTTGTCAGCAATAAGTAGTAGAAGAGCTTGAGTTCTGGAGTTGGGCAGTTTTGGATTCTGATACTGGTACCACCTATGCCACAACTTCCTCACCTGTAAAATGGACTTGGTAATACCCAACTAGCCGGGTTGGCTAACAGATTAGATAGTAACAACAAATGATCGTGTTTGTGTGGTAGGCTAAGCACTTACATGCATTGTCTCAGCCAAACCTTAGAGCAGTCTATCATTGCCATCTAGGAAGTACAATTATTATATTATGAATGGGGAAATTTATATAACTGCTCAAGTTCATATAGCAAGTTCTTTGATTTCAGAGTGTTGACCACTATACTATACTTCATCCCTACTTCTTATACATTTATTTCAGGTCTGCCACTGGGCCCAGCATTAACCCCTTTCCCCCTCAGCAGATCTGTTATTACATGCTGTACAGCCATAAAATTTAAGTCTGAAAATATGTAGAGAAATAGAAAAAAAAAAAGTGACACTGAGAATGCAGATTACCCATATACTCAGATATGATATGCAGAAGCATTTTGCTAGAGATATGCTCTGTTGAAAGGCGGGTAAGAAACTGGATTGATTTTGTTTGACTCCGCCCTCAGCTGCAGTTAGATCTGCTAGTGGTTCTGTGGCTAGAAGTGAACCCAGTGTCCTTTGCAACATATAATAGCTACACTGTCTGAAATAGTCCTTTGAAGTCACCCAGCATAAAAGACCCGTTTGGAGTGTCCCCCAGAAATCTCACTCTGGGTCTCCAGCTATGCACTTCCCTCTCCCAATTACCTGCCCCCACTCCCTACCCCCACCCCAATTCATGTCTGAGTCTTCTCTTTAGGAAGATACAAGGGATGGTTTCACCATTAGGAAGATTGAGCTGTTGGAAGTTCATTACAGGGTGCTATATGAAAGGAGCCTGGGGGCACCTGAGTGGCTCAGTGGGTTAAGCATCTGCCTTCAGCTCAGGTCATGCTTCCAAGGTCCTGGGATAGAACCCCGCATGTGGCTCCCTGTTCAGCGGGGTGTCTGCTTCTCCCTGTCCCTCTGTCACTCCCCTCATTTGTGTGCTCTTTCTCTCTCTCAAATAAATAAATAAATTCTTAAGGAAAGAAAAAGAGGCCTGGATTAAGCTTAGTATAACATAGATGAGGATAGATAGCTCTAAGCCATTGACAAAATGCCCCGAAGGACAAGCAAGATATGTTTAAGCTAGTTTTGTGTTTGTCACTGGGGAATGAAAATGATGACATATACTACAAAAATAGTACTGAGCTGGTTTCATCTCTTATATAACTCTTGTTTCATGATCCCCTTTCTTGAAGACACTGATGGTGGTCTAGAAGTTATTTTTGAAGCTGTTTAAATCTCCACTTAATCACTTACAGAAGTGAAATGCCTTACATGAAGTCACCAGCTTATAGGTGGCAAAACTAACTAGAAGCTTTAGTTGGTGGTTCATTATTTGTTTTCTTAATGAGAAAGATAGTGAATGGGGTTTGAAAGGCAGGTTGTCTGAACAGGACTTAGGGGAGGCAGTAGAATTATAAGAAGGCACCCTTTTAGGACTACCACTAAGAATCTGTCCTTTTGCATGCTTGGTTAACAAATAGTATTTGGTAAAAAAACCTCTGGAGGTCTCCTACCCCCACGTTCCCTCCCCCACCCCTCCTTTTTAAGGAACTCTTCTTGTTTAGTTTCCCAAAATAAACTATTAAAGTATTTACTAGATCTTACTTTTGTGGAACTGTTCATTTAGCCACTTTGAGCCTGTTTTCTTCCAGTATTTGAGTTTACTGATCCTCTTTATCATTCAGAGTTGGCTCTTGGTGCTGATTTTTTTCTACTTTTATACCTTCAAAGATTGCCATATTTAAGGACTATTGAAATAATGTAGGCTTATAGCATTTCTCAGAATTATTCAACTCTTTAGGGATATAATATTATATAATATACTTTTGTGCCCAGGACTCTTACGTCCAGAGATTGGCTAGAAAGACCCACAGGACTCCACATGTATAATTCTACTGCAGGCTAAGATTTACTACTGTGATAAAGTAAGAAGTCATGGCTAGG